GGTTCCAGCTACTTGGAAGGGTGAGGTAGAAGGATTGCCTGAGCCCAGCAGGTCGAGGCTGCGGTGGCTAGAAGCATACCACTGTACTCCAGTCTGGGCGACAGTGTGAGACTCCAACTCAAAAAAGAAAAGAAAGTTACTTGAATTAGCTCTATTTTTCCCACTCAGTGGGTAATTTTATTTTGTTTTGTTTTGTTTTTTTGAGTTGGAGTCTCACTGGGTCGCCCAGACTGGAGTGCAGTGGCCGCTCCCGGCCACCGCAGCCTCGACCTGCTGGGCTCCGGCGATCCTTCCGCCTCAGGCTTTCAAGTAGCTGGAATTACAGGCGTGCGCCACCACGCCCGGCTAATATTTTGATTTACTGTAGAGATGAGGTCTCGCCTGCCCAGGCGGGTCTCGAACCCGTGGGCTCAGGCAATCCATTCACCTCAGCCTCCCAAAGGCATGGGATTACAGGCTGAGCCACCGAGCCCGGCTTGGTAATTTTATTAATCTAAAATAGAATTGAGTTCATTTATTTACATCTGTATTCAGTTTTTAGGTACCCTTCCCATCCTTGTTGATTTAATTTTTTTAATACATTAACTATTAACATGATTTGAAGTAAAAAATATATGAAAAAGGAAACTCTAAGAAGTGCCTCCCCTACCCTACCAGACCTGTTGTTTACTTCAAAAATACTATACCCCAATGAATCCTAATTTTCCCCCATGCCCCACCATAGGTAACCAATTCAGTCTCTGGTTATTCTTTTGTGCGAAAGAAAATATACTCATGCAAATACATTTATGCTTTCATATTTTCCTTCAAAAGGTATATATTTTTTAATACAAAAGGTAGTACAGTATATAGTCTTTTGAACCTTGCTTTCTTTTTTTTGAGTTGGAGTCTCATTCTGTTGCCCAGACTAGAGTGCAGTGGCACACTCCCAGCCACCGCAGCCTCGACCTGCTGGGCTTCGGCGATCCTTCTGCCTCAGCCTTCCAAGTAGCCGGAACTACAGCCGTGTGCTACCATGCCAAGCTAATTTTTTTTTATTTTATTGTAGAGATGATGCTTCACCAAGTGGCCTGAGTGGGTCTCAAACCTGCGGGCTCAGGCAATCCACTCGCTTTGGCCTCCCAAAGTGCTGGGATTACAAACTGAGCCACCAAGCCCGGCCTGAATCTTGCTTTCTTAACAATATATCCTAGAAATCACTCCATATCAAATCACAGTGATGTAATTTGTTTTTGAGTTAGAGTCTCATGCTGTTGCCCAGGCAAGAGTGCAGTGGCATGCTCATGGCCACCATAGCCTCGACCTGCTGGTCTTAGGCGCTCCTTCTGCCTCAGCCTTCCAAGTAGCTGGAACTACAGGTGCATGCCACCACACCCACATAATTAAAAAAATTTTTTTGTACAGACGAGGTCTTGCTGAGTTGTCTAGGCTGGTCTCAGATTCCTGGGTTCAGGGAATTACAGGTGCGAGTCAACATGCCTGGCCATAGTATAATTTAAAATTTTTATGGTTTTCTTTTTTTTTTTCTGAGTCGGAGTCTCACTCTGTTGCCCAGACTGGAGTGCAGTGGCATGCTCATGGCCACTGCAGCCTCGACCTGCTGAGCTCAGGCACTCCTTCCGCTTCAGCATTCCAAGTAGCTGGAACTCCAGGTACACGCCACACGTCCAGCTAATTTTTTTATTTACTGTAGAGCCGAGTTCTTGCCATGCTGTCCAGGCTGGTCTCAAACCCCTGGGCTCAGGCAATTCTCTCGCCTTCACCTCCCAAAGTGCTGGGATTACAGGCATAAGCCACCTGCTGGCTTATTTTAAAGTTTTAAATACAATAAAACAACATTCCATTTGCTTACCAAACAATTTACTGAGTGAGCGGGTGCCAACCACTGAGCTAGACAGGAGGGACAGATAAAGGCCCCTCATGACCTCACACTCCAAAAGAAAGGCAAGTCATACAAATAAAAACACAGTGCTCTGGGGCTTGGAGGAGGGAATCAATAGCAGAAGATGTTCCAAAGAACTGACACTTGAGCTTGAAGAATGAGAAAGCAGAGAATCAGAAAGGAATTTTGTGTGAAGAAACAGCACTTGTATAGGCAGAGTTGAATAAGGGTAAGGCATGTGGAAAAGGGAATTTCATGGGCTAAAACTTAGAATTTAAACGTGGGCGCAGGATAGAGATGGTGAAGGAGGAGTTAGAGTGCACACTATGAAGCAGTGATGGTGGCATGGCACCAGGTGGTGCAGGTGATGCCAGGAAAAAGCTTGACTGTACTATGGCACTTGAGAAACATGAAGACCTTTAAAATATCATTCAGATCCATTCACCTTACAAATATTTAATTGACTGCCTGCATTGTACTAGGTATTACAGAGTGAGCAGTGAGTAAAAGTCAAGATCCTAACCCTTAGGGAGCTGACATCAGCAGGCAGACAGAATTAAAGGAGTTGTTAGAATAAAGTAGGGTGAATTTCTGGGCAAGCACACAGATGGGGAAACTAGCCCATCTGAAGGTAGGAGTTAGGCAGGGGTGGGGGGTGGTAAGGAATCCTTCCCAAAGAGTAAGGCAGACTTTTAGCTAGGTGTGCATGTGTTTTTTAGCTAGGGGTGGAGGGGTTAGAAAAAGTTCCAGTGTTAAAACCTGGAGCAAAGATTGAGACACTGAGAATTTCACTGGGATTAAGACCACATGAGCATTATTCCATTACCCACCTTGCAAAGAGTAAAGATTTAAAAATGCAAGTCTCATTTCTTTTCACTGTCTAAAAAAAGCCTCTTTGCTGCTTTGAGGATACTATCAAGGTCCCTTACAAGGCTTGGGAACCTTTTTTAACTTTTAAATTTTTTATTTTAAAGATGTGGGGTACAAATCAGGGTTAGGTATACAGATGCTCACTATCCAGGTACCCTTGTTGATGAGGTGTGCCCCCCTCCCCTGGCTGTTTCCCCTCAACTGCCAATCCCATTCCCTGCTCCCCTGGCAGCTTCCCACTACTGCCAATCCCTTTCTTACAGTATTATGATAATTGTTCAAGGTCCGCTTATGAGTGAGAACAAATGGTACTCTTTTCATTGTTTCTATGATAGATCACTGAGTATGATAGACTCTAAATCATCCAAGTTGCTGCAAAGGGTAATTTTTTTTTTTTTAGTTGGAGTCTCACTCTGTCACCCCGGCTGAAGTGCGGTGGCACACTCATCACCACCGCAGCCTCGGCCTGCTGGGCTCAGGTGATCCTTCCGCCTCAGCCTTCCAAGTAACTAGAACAGCAGGCGTGTGCCATCATGCCCGGGTAATTTTTCTTGATTTATTGTAGAATGAGGTCTCGCCAAGTTGCCCAGGCTGGTCTTGAAACTCTGGGCTCAGGCAATCCTCTCATCTCCGCCTCCCAAAGTTCTGGGATTATAGGCATGTGCCACTGCGCCTGACTGGCTTGGGAATCTTTAAAACCTGGTCCCAGGTTAACTACCTCTCCTGTCTCATTTTTTAACCTGTTCCCCTTTTGTGTTCTATGCCCCAGCCAAACTAAATTTTTCTTAGCTTGTCATATTCTATTCCCCTGCCTAGAAATCCATCTTCCTTCCCTTTCTGCAGTTTAGATATCACCCAATTCCGGATTAGGTGCCACTCCTATTGCTCTTGTGGTGCCCTGTGCTTCACCTACTGGATCTTGTCAAATTACTACATCTGGCGGGGCATGATGCTATAATCCCAGCACTTTGGGAGGCTAAGGTGGGAGGATCTCTTGAGGACAGGAGTTAGAGACCAGCATGGGAAACACAGTGAGACCCCATCTTTGTTTAAAAATATATCTTTAAAAATCATCTAAATCTACCACTAGCTTGAACGCCTTGAAAGCAGGAAGTGGTTTAATTACCCTTGTGTCCCAAGCACAAAATTTAGTGCCCTAATGTCCAGCTAATTTTGAATCAATGAGGCAGTCTTCACGGCAGCTGGGTGAAGGATTCTGAATTATAAACTTTGGCCCTCAGTCAGTCTCTTTGTTACTACAATACAAGGGTTCATTTTCTGGCGTGGAGGAACAATTTAGATGAAAATCATTAAAATTTAAAATAATTTAGGACTAGGCATAGATTGATTTGCAAAGATCAACACGTTCAAACTAATCACTTTAATGCTCATCTTTAAGCCGACAAGGTAGAGAGTAATTAGTCCTCACGCGAGTCCTACCTCTCTCCTAAAAGAGCAGTCACTCTGCTTGTCCCGTCTCGGGGAGTTTTTTTTGCCTTTAAGACTCCACCCACGGTCCCCAAGTGGCGGAAGAACCTCACGCTACGACGTGACATCTCACACTACGGCGGAGGCATCCCGACGTTGCGCCGGCGGCGTAGGCGGAGCGGCCGGTTCTTCCTCCTCGCTTCCTCGGCTCCTCCCTCGGCGCTTCACACGCTCATTGTGAAGCGACCGCGGCTGCCAGCCTCTAAGGCGGTTTGAGACCCGAGACCCTAAATCCTTGGCGCACGTGAGCGCCCGCGCTGCGCCTCACCCTCTCCAAGGGCGAGGGGTGCGAGATTCGCCTCTT